TCTCAGGGCCTCCAGCTGGAAGTGCGCCTCCTCCAGGATCCGCTCCTCAATGGACCGCTTCCCCATGCCGAAATTCCTCAAGGTCGTGATGGAGAATCGGCGCAGCTGCTTGGCTCTCTCCCCTTCACTGAAGGCCACCCCTGGGAAGTAAAAGCAGGAGACGGCGGAAGGTTACCGGGAAGAGACTATGTCTGGGGAAAAACAGCGCTTTGGTAACAGACGGAGAGGGGGGAAAGCAATAAAATTATTAATCGCAGTGTGTGTTAACAAGATCTTGGGGTAGGGGTGGACAGTAAGACCGATTTCGCACAAGAGCTGCACCGTGGTCGCGCCTCCCTTTGCCCCGGCTTCTATTGGTCAATTTCCCACTCGAAGTCGCGCAGCTGCATTTTGACCTGCGGCTTCGCCCGATTTCCCCCACGGTTTTGTGATCCTCAAGAAACTTAAAGGGAGCCCCTTTAAGTGCAGGGAGAAGGGAGAAGGGTGGATGCGGGTGTTGGGGCTTGGGGCGGGGCTTCCCCTGTTGACCAGCTGGCTGGCTGTGGGTAGAACCCCCCCCAAAGTGGGGGACACCTGGGGGGAGGGGTTTGGCAACCCTAAATGTCTGTTACTTCGGCAGGCTTTTGCCTAGCCCCTCATTGGCCCTGGCCGAGGGGGTCACCTCGAATAATGTATAACTGTTTACTTCAGTGGAAAAGACAATAATGTTAGGAACATTTGAAGGGAACCGGGGAAGAGGGAGACCCAAATGGAGATGGATCGAATCAGTCAAGGAAGCCACAAAGGCCCCTCAGTTTGCAAGGGTCGCCAGGAGTCGGACTTTACACTTCACACACAGGATGGCACTTCACACACACACAGCTGGAAGAGGCTGAGCTTGATGACCCCTGAGGTCCTCTCCCGAGTATATAATTGTGTAATCACCACAGTCACATAAATCTTAGTGGCCCATTGCACAAGACGCTGGAGCCAAGCTGAAATCCCACCTCTGTTTGTTTGTTTGTTTTAATGTAAATGATAATCTATTTTACACAGATTTTGGGAGAGTAGATGGAATTAGGACTGCTCAATATCTACACCCTAAAATACATAGATGCAAACTGCAACCAAGAATGAGCTGTCTGTCAAAGAAGAGACTGGTGGTTGTGTTATTATATTGCTGGATTTTGGCAAAAGGTATTGAAAATTGAAAAGGTGTTTCTTATGTTCTTATGTTCTTATGTAACTGCAGGCTGTGGAAGGATTGGTAAGTTCAGCAGTTGGAGACCCGAGTGTGAGGCATGATGGAGTGAGCTCCCGTCTCTGGCCCCAGCTCCTGCCCACCTAGCAGTTCGAAAGCAAGAAATTGCAAGTAGATAAATAGGGACCACTTTGGTGGGAAGGGAACAGCGTTCCGTGTGCCTTGGTGTTTAGTCATGCCGGCCACATGACCACGGAAGCATCTTCGGACAGCGCTGGCTCTTCGGCTTGGAAACGGAGGTGAGCACCGCAACCCTAGAGTCGGATTCGACTGGCTTTCGAGCAAGGGAACCTTTACCTTTACCTTTATTGAAACTGATCCTATTGATAACAGGGTATTCACTCCCTTTATGACCTGAGCTCATACTGCTTAATCTATGGGAAGATATTGCAATTCCACAAATACGAAAGACTTTGATTGTCACATTATTACCTGCCGCAAAGACAGCAATAGCTGCAAAGTGGAAAAACAAATCAGCGCCTTCAGTTTTGTTATGGATGTCTAAGATATGGGACTGCTACATTTTAGGGAAAAAACCACAAATAGTCTGTTACAACTTGAACATAAAAACTATTAGTCAACTTTTGTTGAAAAATGGTTTTCGGCCATAAATTACATAGCACAGAATGGAATTATTCCTGATTATTTAGTTTCACCTGAAGTATTTATTCTATAAACCCCAGATTTAGAGTATGTTTTAATTTTGATCAATAGATATTAGCTAGTTGAACTCAAATGCTTACATTTATACAAGATGCTTGCTAACCCAACTGTATTATTACAAAACATGTCAAGAGTTTTAATTAGTTAAGTTTTAGATAGTTATACTGAACAGAATATCAGGAATATTATTAATGTTAAATAGTTCGTATCGTTTGGGATTCTGTGTATCAATTGTTTTATATTTATTTAATAAAAATGATTAAACGTTTTAAAAAAGAAGAGACCGACCATAGCCACGGAAAAGCCAGTCGAAGGTGGCCTGCTCCCCACGGCCGCTGAACTCTTCAGCCTGGTCCACCAAGGCCTCCTTCACCGCATCGTATCCACGCAGCACCACGGCCCGCCGGGGCCCCAGATGGATGGTGTAGACGGGGCCATATTTGTCACTGATCTGAAAGAGAGAGAAGAGCGCCGGGTTGAAAAGAAACAGAGGAGGAGGAAGGGAAGGGAATTGTTGGGAAATAAGACAGGCCTGATAGCAAGACAAACAAGTTATGTAAGACAGAGAGTGCCAAAAACTTGGGATGTTCACCAAAATGATACTTGAACTGTTTTCATTTGCCCTTTTTAAGAGTCTTCACAGATTTTCCGTATTATGGCTGTCATGCCTGTTTGGATTCTTCGTTCTGTTTTGTTTGCTTGCATTGAACCGTGATTTTTTAAAAAATAATATTTTTATTTATCGTATGAAAATAAAAACAAGATGCAATACAAGAATCATAACAGAAAATATACAGTACTTGACTTGCAATACAAAAGGTTTTGACAACGGTAAGATTTGTACAATTTTTGTGTAATGCCGTACTCCTTTTCTTATTTCCTCCCTTTTCAGTTCCCCCCCCCCCAGGGTTTGTTTTAGTTTAATTGAAACAATAACAAGAGCAGATCAATCTACCCAACTCGTTTGGTTAACATTTGTTTAGTATACCATTTTGTGCTTCTATGAATCGAATCCATTTGGGCACTGCAGTCTTTTGTTCGGTTGATATTTTATATTGAGTTGTCCATTCTGTGATTCTATCAGCTATGAAAGACTCCCAAACTTTTCTGCACCAATGTTCAGTTGTGGGTGTGGTTTTGTCTTTCCATTTCATGGCAATGATGCTTTTTGTGGCAGTAAGTAGGACTGAGATTAATTCTCTGTCTCTGTTATTAATCTGAGATTTGGGCCACGGATTTAACAGGATTAAGGTAGGAACCTTCTGAATAACGTATCCCGTTACCCTTTTGTTGTTTTTTTGAGAACTTCTGACCAGAAATTACTAACGTGTGGGCACAACCACCAGCAATGAAAGAAGAATTCGTGATTGTCACATAATTTCCAACATAAAAGGGATTGAGATGGTAACATGTGCGCCAGTTGCTTGGCGTTAAATACTATTTGAGTAGAATTTTGGTTGCTTGTGTTTGAATAGGAACGGATCTTGAATTGTAGACTGTGGAGCTCCATATTTGTTTCCACTGTTTTTTAATGAAAGCGTTCATTTAAATCTTTGTTTCATGCTTTTTGGGATGCATTAAACCAGGGGTGTCAAACATGTGGCCCGGGGGCCAGATGAGCCCCCCGGAGGGCTTCTATTGGGCCCGCAGTGGAACTGGTTATTGTCTGCTTGTTCTTCCAGTTCTGCTGCTGCTGCGTCATCGTAGGTTTGCAGCTTACAGATACACCCCTGAACAGCATACTCAAGATTGCAACAGCACAGACATTTTGATGCAATAATTCAGAGCAAGAGGTGTCAGTTATCAGACACTGTTAAATAAATAACCTATTGCAAGAGTGCTAATGTTTTACGCATGTTTTTATTTTAAGTAAAAAAAATACCCTTTGTGATTGTGTCCTTTTATAAAGTTTATATCTCCCCCTACCTGGCATGACATTTGATGACACACATGGCCCGGCCCAACAAGGTCTCATTTATGTCAGATCCGGCCCTCATAACAAATGATTTCGACACCCCTGCATTAAACCATGATGAGTGTTGCGGATTCCAAGGAGGGGAATGAGATTTTGCTAGGGAAATCTTCACACAAAGACACAAGGGTTCCAGAGCTGGGTCTAGACATGGAAGGGGCTGGGTGGTGTCGCTATGAAAGGAGTGGATACACACGGGATGCACGTGGAAGTTGGGGAAGGGTGAGATCAACAGAATGTATGAACAGAAGTAGAGTGTCCAGATCACAAGATGCGATGGTACCACTTTGCTCTGCTTTGGTGAGACCTCACCTAGAGTGTTGTGTTCAGGTTTGGGCACCACAATGTAAGAAAGATCTAGACAAGCTGGGACATGTCCAGAGGAGGGCAACCAAGATGGTGAGGAGTCTGGAGACCAAGTCCTATGAGGGAAGGTCGAAGGAGCTGGGCCTGTTTAGCCTGGAGTGGAGACGATGGAGAGGGGATAGGATCACCATCTTCAAGTACTTGAAGGGCTGTCAGATAGAGGATGGGGCGGAGTTGTTTTCTGTTGCCCCAGAAAGTCGGACCAGAACCAACGGGTTGGAATTAAATCAGAAGAGTTTTTGGCCAAGCATTGGGAAGAACGTCAGTTCCTCAGTGGAACAGGCTTCCTGGGGAGGTGATGGGCTCTCCTTCCTGGGAGGTTTTCAAGTGGAGGCTAGACGGCCATCTGACAGCAGTGCTGATTCTGCGAACTTAGGCAGGTCATGAGAGGGAGGGCAGGAAGGGTTGCCTCAGTGCTTAGTTCTTGTGGCCCTTTTTTACACACCCAGGGAAATTCCGGTCGCCACGTTGGGGTCAGGAAGCAACCCTGGAGGGGTTTTTTTTGTCATCTTCTGGGCGTGGAACGGCGGTCACTGAGGGTGTGGAGGGGGAGGTATTTGTGAATTTCCTGCATTGTGCTGGGGGTTGGACTAGATGACCCTGGAAATCCCTTCCAACTCTATGATTCTATGAGATCCAGAAATCTGAGGGGGAAGAATCTGCTAAAGCAACTCTATGATTCTATGATTCTGTGAGATCCAGAAATCTGAGGGGGAAGAATGCTAAAGATGGTACTCTTTATTTGCATATCTCACACTTTAAAAAGTTACCCCTAACTAGGGGTCATTTCATAGAAAAAGAGGTGCCGGAGCTCATTAGCATAACTCGTTTGCATACGCCACACCCCCTGACATCACCGGAAGTGTGTCAGAAGGCAACACCCACCACTCAGGCTCCACTGGACTGTTTTGGATTGCTAGCTATTGGGGGTGGGGATGTGCAAATCTATCCTCACAGAGGAGGGAGAGCTTGTGCCTGAATAAAACCTGGTCTTAAAGGTGCCACTGGACTGTTTGGGGCCGGGGGGCCAGGGGGAGCTCTGCAGCTTACCTGGCTGCTTCTTGCTCTGACTGAGGGCTGCTGGGAGCAGGGGGTGGGGCTTGTTGCATGTGCCCGCCCCCTTGGCTCCTTACTGCCGGAGCTCCCCTCCTGTGCGCTCCTGCAGGAAATGACCCCTGCCCCTAACAGCTGTTGATACAATTTTTTTTTTACAAAACATTGTTGTTTTTCAGACTGCAATCGCCTTTCACGTTTTCACACGTATTGTGGTACTTCTGATGATTGTGCTATTGGTGGGATCAGTTCAGACTTCCCCTCTCCATCTGTTCCAGCTTCCCTCTGTTATTTTCTGCACATGTGCTGAACAGTGTTCCCTCTAAGCTGCATTAGTGTGAGCTAGCTCACAGTATATTAGCCTCTGGTTCACACATTTTTGTCTTAGCTTGGGAAGGATGGGGCTCCAGAGCAATGCTCTCTCTAAGCTGTGGAGTCTTGTGAGCAAAGATTCTACTTTGTGAGCTCCAGGCATTAAAGCTGTGAGCGAGCGATTTGACTACTGCATCAATTAGTTTGCTCTGGAGCCATCCTTCCCGAGATGAGACAAAAATGTGTGAGCTGGAGGCTAAAAAACTGTGGGCTAGCTCACACTCACAGTTTAGAAGGAACACTGCTCCAGAGCAAACTAATTTATGCCACTACCAGATTGCTTGCTCAAAATGTAATGCCTGTGGCTCACAAAGTAGAATTTTTGCTCATAAGACTCGACAGCTTCAAGGGAGCATTGGTGCTGAAATATTCCAGCAATCCAGCAGCCCCCTGGCTCTGCCTGTTTCCTTGGAACGCATGGGCAGGGTGTGATCCCCTTACATGGGAGTAGCCCCATTGGGCTTCAGTATGTTTTTGCTTGTGTAAAGCAAGGGAGGCTATCAAACATCAACTCTGAAGATGAAAAGATAATTTATTTGCTCAGCCACTTGGCCCCTGACATTTTAAAACCGAAAACAGATGTAGCAGAATGTAGGAGAAAGAAAAAGGGTTTCCCCCACTGCAGAGAAAGGCACGAAGGGTCATAAACAGGGTCATATTATGACTTTTGTGGGCCGTAGGCACTTTTGCCTTTGTGGGCCCTGCCTGCCCCCTTCCACCATAAAATTTTTAAAATGATATTTTATGACTGCGTTGGTATAAAGACGAATGTCATCCAGCCTGGATTATATTTGTCTTTATAGCAACACAGTCGAAGTATGTGTTAGGGTTCCAGAGCTCCCCAAGTGGAGGGTGGTATGGGTAGACCTCCCTTTCCTTCCGAGAAACAGGTTTCCTCGGGAGGTGGTGGGCTCTCCTTTGGAGGAGGTTTTCAAGCAGGGGCTAGATGGCCATCTGACAGCAGTGCTGATTTGTGTGAACTTAGTTAGACCGTGAGAGGGAGGGCAGGAAGGGTCACCTCGGTGCTTAGTTCTTGTGGCCCTTTCTGACATGCCCAGGGAAATGCCGACCGGCACTTTGGGGTCTGGAAACAATTTTTCTCCAGGCCACTTTGGCCAGGGATCCTGGAGGGGTTTTTTTTTGGTCATCTTCTGGGTGTGGAACAGCGGTCACGGGTGTGTGTGCGTGGGGAAGTATTTGTGAATTTCCTGCCTTTTGCAGTGGGTTGGACTAGATGACCCTGGAGGTCCCTTCCAAGTCTGTGATTCTATGATTCCACTGGTCAGCTGGCCAGTGGGGTGGGACTTACCCTGCAAATGACCCAGGCCCAGCCGATGTTGCAGCAATGTGTCTACCTTAGAGTTTTTGCACAAATACCAGAGAAAAAAGTAAACTGTGCTGAGGCTTACGTGGGCCTCCTCTCCGCCCTCATTCCATTGGTCCCTCCGGCTGAGGCCATCTCGACCATACAGTTTACAGTCACTATGCCTCTCACTATAGCGCAAAATAACAGTGCATCCATCAAAATGTTCTCTGTTTTGATTACTTAAAAGGTACACTTTATAAGGAGCTGCGGTGGCTCAAGTGGTTAAGACGCTGAACTGCAGGCTGTGGAAGGTCGGTAGTTCAGCAGTTTGAGACCCAGGTGCCATATGATGGAGTGAGCTCCCATCTCTAGTTCCAGCTCC